ATAAGAAAAGGTTTTTCTCGTATTGAACATTATAATGTTCGATTAAAGAAAAACCTTTTTTTACTATAGTTGTGAATCATCCACAATATGGCAGCCATCGAAATAATCTTTTGAAAATATTGCGCTAGTGGCTGAAACATTCAAATCTTAATCATCAGTAGAAACTGAAAATTTCGTCGAAATTGATAATTTATTTGATTTTTCATTTCATTATTATACTTTTATTTGGGAGCATTTGGACACTCAAGTAAATCCATCAGCAACCTACCCAACAGTGAAAATGGACGGTGTCAAGTATATAAAGAATAAATTGATGAAAGAAGCACATTCAATTCCGAAGACCAAAATAGATGCCTATTTTATACTTACTAATACTTCTTTAATCTTCAGTCAAATTTTCTATACATTCGGCGCAATGAAAATTTGGAATAATAATAATCCGATATTTATTTTCGATACAGGAGATCTAATATGATGATTTAAATGTTACTCTCCTATTTAATTTATTTTGGAACGACTGGTCCATATTAACTTATTATTATATTTATGCGGATTCAGAAGAACGAGTAAGTGTGTTGACTAGTAATTCGTACGGACCGTACGCATCAGAATACTGACGACATATAAATTTCGGTACAAAGAAATCTGTATTTCATCGTAGATATTCTAAAGGTAATTCAACGTAGTTCGTACTATCTCGGTTCTCGAACTCTAAAAATTAATAAAATTACATCAAATTCACAGGATGCTACGAAATTTGTGCAAAGTGAGTACATACACGTCTTACAAAGATAAAATAATTTCTTAGCGAAAACTTCGCTTGACAAGTATTATTTAAAACATAATTGACCAATCATGTAGTCGCTGGGGGTCGCACAAAGTACAACACTAATTTCTTCTCTTTTTATTGATGAAAATAAATATCACGCCACTCGCTAATGTACTCACATGCGCAAATTTCATAATATTCTATAGTTAAATTGAATTTAGACTTTATTAGATCAAGCAAAAATTTATCAGATCTGACAGAATCAGAATCTGTATTAAATTTGATTCTCTTAAAACTAATTACATTAAATAAATTACAATTTTTTTTGTAGGAAAAATATGCTAAGGATTTGTGTTTGATCGAACTAAATATTTAAATCAAACACGGCTACTTTGTGTGAGTTTGACTCCGTTTGATGGAGGTTTCTATAGCGGAGAAAAACAAAAGTATTGTACGGGACACTGGCAAGAAACATTATCTATCTTTGAAAACAGATAACTATCTCTATTGCGTGCAAGAATTATCCAATGTTAAACAAGAAACGTTAGATCTTAGAAAATATAAACCAGCTCTTTATTTTTTTTTCTTTAAACACCAAGTTTTCGAACTTTCTTATCCACCAGTTTTTTTTTAAGACGACAATTGTCTCATACAACCAAGGCTATCAAACACTATTCGAGCAAATGTATAATTTATTTGGTAAATGGATAATTTTATATACATGTTGCTTATTGATAATCACATTTATTGTCTGCTTTTACTTAGCGAAAACTAATAGAGTAGCATTTGCAATATTTGAAGTTATCAGGCTCTTGATAAGTACATCTATCAGAACAAATATCAATACTCTGGGTTAAAAAATATTTTTACTAATGATTTTTTCTTACATTTTGATCATATAATCATTGTTCCTAGGAAAATTAGCAGGATTTCTTACGAATCCATTGACCATAAAAAATGCTGATACTTTAGATGATTTAAATAAAAAAGTATTAAACAAGTCTTATAAGATAACAAATATAAGAAAAGTGTTGAGTGTTTTTAAAAATGATCCATCTGTTGCTTTTGTGGACAATATTGGTAATGTGAATGAATTTTTAAACTATTATTTAGGTGATGCGTATATTGCTAAAGATCCGATTTTATCTAGGCCATTCCCATATATGTTACGTAAAGAAAACCCTTTAAATAAGCGAATAACTAAAATATTACTCTTGCATTATGAATTAGGGTTTACTGAGAAACGTAAAAAAGATGTACATAGTAACTATTGGAAACAAATCAACCGATTAAGATCAATATCATTGACTAACGGTACCAATAAACCAATTAATATGAAGTCCATTATGTCGCTAATAATCTTGTTAGCTCCAGGATAGATCAATGCGGTAATATGTTTTTCCTCATACCTTCGCCGAAAGTTCGAATTCTAGCCCTGTTTCCAGGGCGCAAAGTAAGATATTTCTATGCAACATAACCATTATAACTGATAATTACGGGTCTGAAACTTTTTATCCTGCTAAATAGTACCAATTCTACCGCTAGGTGCTTTTTTAAAACTTTCTCTCCCTTTGAATAGTACTAACCTCACCGCTAGGTGCGTGTTCGTCACTTTTTTCTCTTCTAAAAAATTCTAGCCTTACCGCTGACTAGAAAGTGGCGCTGATATAGCGATTACACTAAATTCCCTCCCTGTGAAAAGTTTTCAAATAGTTGTCACAACATATTATTTTTCCTGTGTACACAAAAGCAATAAAAAAAGAGTATTAAACCTTCCTAAGCTAAATGATGGGAAAATCCAAGACAACCCGTTTGTTGAAAATTTGCTTACGTCCAAAAAAAAAAAAAAAGAAAACAAAAATAAAACTTTCAAGATATTGTGTGTAGTAAGAAATAATTAAATTTTCCACTTAATCCAAACCAGAAGAGTAAAAAAATTTTTAGAGGCCAATAAAATGATGCATTTCTCTAAGGACAAAAAATTCTTCAAAATCCTTTACAACATCTGCAAGCCACACAATATTTTCCTGAATCAAGTTAGTTAAGATAAGTTCCCAAAAATAATTTTTAGTTAGTCTCTTGTAGATTTTCTGTCCTTAAAGATCGTGTCTGTGTTCTGTTGAAAGTTAGTTTGAATTGAATAAAAAGTGCGTGAAAAATGATTTCATCAGATTCATCGCGTTCCGAAGAAGAATTCGATTTTAATGAAAAAGCGCAGAAAGTGAATAATAAATTACTGCCAAAAAAATCACGTGATAAATATATCACATGTTATAATGAGTTCGTGGAGTGGAAAAATAAAAAAAAAGCTACTGTGATAGACGAAAACGTTTTATTAGTATATTTTAATGAACTATCTGAATCATTACAACCACCAACTTTATGGAGTCGCTGGTCAATGCTGAAAAAAATGTTAAACGTGAATCACAACATCAACATCAAAAATTTTTAAAAATTAAAAACTTTCATGAAGAACAACAGTCAGGGGTATCAACCAACAAAAGCAGCCGTGTTTACGTGGGACGAAATACATAAATTTCTCAATACAGCACCAGATCATACTTATTTAGCTATGAAGATAAGATAATAGTTGTAAAATACTATTAATAAAGAATTTATTTAGTGAGTATTTGAAAATTGTTTTTTATATTGCAGACTATTCTTATCTTTGGAGTTCTTGGAGCTTTACGAACTGCAGAATTATGCAATCTACGTATACAAGATATCACCGATGCTAATGGTCAGTATATTGTTGACGTAAAGAATACAAAAAATTACTGTCCACGAAAATTGACTCGCCTTCGGCTCGGGTGGTAATATCACACACGGGTAGAAATGTCGTACTTTGCACCCTAGTTGCACAATGTACTATTATTGGTGAGATCACAGTTCATCGATTACAAAAATCGTAAATTCTTATCAAAAAGGTTATGTTTGTGATTCAATTTTTGGATACAATCTTTTTTTTTAAATAAACTTCCCAGTGGAAAGTTATTGTAATGGGTCCGATTCTGCAAATCCCAAATTTTGACATATCTCCACATTTCAAAGTCCCCAGAGTTGAATACAATAGTTTTTGAGTGGACGTCTGTGTGTGTGTGTCTGTACGTATGTGCATTCGGAATTATTTTTCGCCACAATCATCTCGAGAATAAAAAATGATATCGACATAGGACCAATTTCATTCGACGCACAATTACACAACTTAGAACTAATTGAACGCAATGGAATGCTTAATGAAAATCACCCTGAATTTTATGGTAATTTGGTGACACTGCAGGGTAAGGATAAAAATTACTATACACATTATACAAATTACTGTACACATTGTTAAAATTACTAAACTGCATAGTTATTTTTATTCTAATTTCACCCCAAAAATTACTATACAGTTTAGTAATTTTAACAATGTTGAACAATGACACAGTCTGCCCGAGCTTGAACTGTCTGTTCCATGATAATTGCATTTTTTTTAAATGTTAGAGTTGGCAAAATAGACAGAATATTAATCAAGACAAATGAATTAATGAGAATAAAGGCGACCTGGACAGCCAGACACTTGAAATTTATATAGTAGTATAGTATAGATAGATAAATCTTAAATGTTATTTGTGAAATTCTGACTAATTACAATTTTATCCAAAACCATAGAAGAGAGATGTGAATAGAAGTTTATTCCAAATGGGTCATTGTGGCTGGAAAATTTATTATGTATTCTTATAGAGCCGGGTAGGAGTTAAACAAGGTTGGGGTGATCCCTAAACAGAACACAGTATTGAACTTCTATACACATCTGTTTTCTCTGACCAATATAAAGCTCAGTGCTGCTGATATTAAAAGGGATCTTCAAATGATTGAACACATTTTATCTTATTGTCGATTTCTCATGCAAGATAAATATTTTACATTTGTAACAATAGAAAAGGTTACTCACAAATTATTGTACAACTTTTGAAATTTGGAATAGATTTTAATTATTAAATTTTTATCATTGAAATTTAAAAACTATTTTTTTCTCTGTCTCTTCTTTATCCTTATTTAAGGGGTGTTAAAATAGAAGATATGCAATTTATTTATTGAATAATGTTCAGTATCTGGTGAAATTTTAAATGATTGTTAAAAAATTGAAACAAAAACATCTGCATATAATTTTCCATATCTATAAATAAGAGCTGTAATAGTAACTTGTTGCTGTGATAATTATTTAATTCATCAAGAAAAAAAACATCGATTTTGGAGTTCGTAATACTTTATTTAATCAAGATACAAACTTGAACGACTCCTAACATATCTCATTAATATTTTTGTACGCATGCGTTTATTTATAAAAATAAATGTCCTATAGTTTGCTTTTTTATTCATCTATCTATCTCATCCACTGTTGCACGCATCCTTTTTTTTACAAATATTTACATTAATAATCATATAGTTTTAATTATTATTAACGTCATACATCTATCTAATGGGCACTCTGGAAGTAACTCAGTAGTTGTATAGTCATCAAGATAAGAATTTGATAATAGCTTTTTACTATTTACTATACCCCTTTTCACTTAAGAAGTTTTAAGAGCGAAATTATAATAACTGGCCTGATTTAGAATTGTCATATCAAAGGTTGCTAATCTTAATTATTAATCGTAGCATTTATTTAATTTCCAGAAACACTCATTTTATAATTTTAATAATGTTAAATAATATTGTAGAAAACTTGTTTAAAAATTTTTATGTTTATTTTTCTACGACAAAAATTCTTATTTCTTCATTTTATAATAAAAAGACAAATTTAACTACAAAAGATGGAGTAAATGAATCGAAATTTAATGGAAAATTTTAATTTAAATATATTGTTAGCTAAGAATTAAATTTTTAATCTTTTATGTTTTCTTTTACTATCTCTAATTACAGATATAAGTCACAATCAATCATATTTATCGTTTATTTATTAGCTAGCACCAAATCGTTTTATGAGTATAAAATAGGACTAATCAATATTCTAGTCTGCATACCATTCTTGTCATTACATAAATTTGTTTAATATTACAAAATTGGTATGATCAAGTTTGGTGAATACAAACATAGATTATTTTTTATTATGAATGATGGAATTGCACTATCAATTGGACCTGCAATTGATATATTAATACACGTTAATAAAAAATTGCCACTAATTCCTTGCCAGAAGGACTAGATTAAAAAAACCAGAAGTATATACTATTCAATTCGGTTGCAAACAAAGTCATTCAAAACTTGTTTTTATTTCGACTCTTTAGACTTATATCAATCGTCAACTGAATAAATACCTGAACACAATTTTTAAGCACTATCTATACCATGAGCCTTTTAATATATCAGAAACTAATGATCAACATGATTATTGTCATTAAAATACAATAACAAATTTAATTATTTGTCAATGATAAATGATTCAAGGCTATACAAGAATGTGTTAATCAATGTCACTTCATTTCGTTATTAAATAAAAATTTTTTAAGCCTAAAAGCCATTATGATTACTTAAATAAAAAAATACAAACATTAGAATACTTATTTTGGACAAAATATTTTAGAATCAAGATATATTTGTATGGCAATATCAAATTGGCCTAAATATTCAACCTGAATGAGTAAGTCAATAGTAAATGAATTTTTAATTAAATAAATTAAAGACTAGACTGCCAATAATCGATGAGTGTCTGAACTCCAACCATTAACATTAAGCAGTGAGTTTCCATTTTTCATAACATTTGAATATTTCGGTAAAATTGTTTGATTTTTTTGTGCTTGTCGCTGATCATACTTAGCTTTATTATAACAAAATACGCCAAATATTGCGAGAAACATTCCAAACATATTTAACCATGTCACAGGATTTCCTAATATAAAAAGTGTAACAGCTATTACGAATATCCGTTTGCTTGCATTTGCAACCGAAAACGTTAAAGGTGAAACTATTGACATAACAGAAAAGGCTACGATATTTTGACACCAATTAAGAGTACCATCTAAAAATAATAATCCTAATACTTTATAACTTATTGTATCAGTTGTCACCCACTCAGTTATCAGAGATTTTAGGTCGTAAACTGCCCAAACTGGCAAAAACATGAAGAGTGCCAAACGCCCTAAGATGAATAGGAGTCTTAAATGATGAATACCAGTGTCATATAGCACCTAAAAGTTAATAAAGTTAATAAAGTGATTAATTTTTAACATTATATTTACAAAATCTAATTAAATCAAGACTACTTTATAAAAATGATAGAAAACTAAACCTAAAACATTCAACTATGATTACAACACACTAGCGAAACGGAAAATGTTTTCAACACTACGAAATTTAAATTGTTGAAAAAAAAATTACCAGTAAAATAACGTAAAAAGAAAAAAAATTATGTCACTATATCTGTTACGTATGAGTCATACGGAAAAAACTAGTGGAAGACACAACAATCTGAGTAATTAAAATGTTAACATCTGCATGAAATGTGTTGTATACATGATATATTTTCAGACGTTTCATTCAGGAAACAAATTATAAGATAATTAAAAAGGTTCCTAAATGGAAATATAAAATAAGGTGTTACAAAAATAAGTATAATTTTAAAATCAACATTATATCTAAAAGATGGAATTTTTACCTTTTTGGAGTAAATATTTTGTAGAGAACAAGCCAATGTAGATGCAAGCGCACTGATAAGTCCAATAAAATTAAAGCTGAGCTCCGTCAGCGTGGCAATAGCAACTCCACATACTATTGGTACAAGACTAAAGTAAACTTTATTCGTCTGCTTCTCACGGAGGATTATTCTTGACAAGATGACAGTGAAGAGAGGCATTGTAGCCTTTACTGGGAAAGAGCCAAATTTAAGTTAGTATATTGTATAAATTCAGTATGTTATTGATAACTATCTTAATATCAAAATATCTCAAGTAATGAATAACTTTTAAATAAAATGCGTATTTGTATGAACATTTTACCATATTGTAAATAAATGAAAAAATATGTTATATGATATCGTACCAGTGTGAGCATAAGATACAGGGACCTTCCAAATGCTGACGTGGCTGAAGACATTAGCTAAGAATTTTCCAAGGGCGAGTGGTACAATCAATTTAAAATAATAACTCCAGGATATTTCAGAAGCAGATTTTCTGACTCCCCATAAATTAAAAAAAGGTCCAGATAATACTGTAATTGAGGTTAGCTGCACCATTGTTACTGTCAGTGGATAGGGAAATTCTGACAACAGCGTCTTTCCAACAACATTATTACTGCTGGAAATCACATACCACAAAATAAATAAAAATAATATTGTTAAAATTTCACGCCCTTCACGTCGGTCCACCATTTCTAGAAGTTAGTTAATAATTTACTCTGTCAGAACTACAATCTTGCCACAATCACTCTCACTACACTTGTTATTATCTAGCCACGCACAGCACTTGACTGCTACTGAGTGTCTTGCACGTATTTTTCTGTACCTTTCGTGGGAAGAAAGAGGGGTTAAAAATGTAACGCAGGGTTTCTTAATTTTCAATAAAACTTTTTTCAAAATTTATTAGCTGTTGTATTGTAAGTTGAATACACATGTTGACGGGATGTATAGTAGAGGAAAAATGCCATTGGCAAATAAAAATAACCTATTCAAACTTTCTATCAACACTTTCGAAGAATGAAGGAATAACATTTTTCTCATATTACTTGATCAATAACTGTGAATAACAATAGAAACAAGTGTTATTAACTCTATTATAGTAGTTATATGTTTACAACATTTTTAATAACAGTTTAGTTGAGCTAATTCCTATTTATGAATTTACGTGAACATGTGAAGTTAGCTAATAATCGATATACAGTACCGACTAGGCTAAAATCAGCAAGTTGACTCTATGCCCTCCCGTTGTGCGGTAGAAGGTCGAAGCTTGATCTCAACTGAAATTGAGTTGGTAACAGGGAAATCGTTCGAAGAATGATAATTTTCAGAGATGCACTAAAAAAAGGGAAGGCACGACTACGGTTTCCGTGGCGCCACGAAATGACGATGAATTTCGATAGAACAGTCCAAAATAAGACGAAAATGAAGAATAAAATTTTTTCATATCTTACTTAGTTTTCGAGATATTGATACTTTAAATTTTGGGTTTATATGGGCTTATACATGAGCATAATTTTGGTCCAAAGAATTAGAGGGTTCTCTTCGGTTTAATGAAAAAAAATCACCCTGCAAGTACATTGTACCGAGTTACATTAATTTTGTGAGTCAAAAAAAATCGCGACGCCACGGAAACCGTAGTCTCCCCAAAGGGAGCATTAGGGCACCAAGAAATTGACAAATTTCCGAATCATCAGCTTAAAGCAAAACAGAGCAAAAAATATACTTATCCATCACCAAGAGATGGATTTGATATTATACAAACCCTCTTGCTTCGAAATCATCAAAATATTATTAAGTTTAAATTATAATGAGAACTTTTTAAGCCTTTTTCCGAATCCTTATTTAATTTAAGTCTAGATAATTTAAAAAATTATTTGAAAGTAAATGTACAGTTGTAAAAAATACTTGAATATTAATTTTTAAATACAACTACAAATACTTAGCTTGGGATGTTCTATCCGAAAATATATTTGTATTATAACAACTTGCTAAATAATTTTTGCTTTATTATAAATTCTGTTAAGTTTAATTGTTTATAAATCATTATCAAATTAAAAAAAAATTTTAATTCGCTAATACTAAATGAATGATTGTAATATAAAAATGTCTTACAGCAACTCTAAACCAACATTGAACAAACATCAATTTAGTCGATTTCTGCTCATATAAAATTCTTTCTTCGGCTGAACCAATATCTGTAATGATCCAGGCTGCCAATTAGCCTATTGATTCACATTATTATCGTATAGTCTTTTTTTAGATAAATCTAAATGACTTACACACTTTAGAAATTCATCAATAAAAATGTATGTAATAGATTTTTTATTTTTTTAGAAATAATCTATTTTCACTTAAACTGCGGATACTTAAATTTATCATTCAATTTTATTAAGAGACAAGCTCTAATATTTTATTATAAACTAGCTGTTTTGCAGTTATTCCCCACATAAAATCTAGATGTGTAAATCCTGAAGCATTCACGATATATTGATCAACGATATTGGGAACTAATTGCAATATTTTATTTAAATCCTGTTGAAAAGAAAATATCAACTTTCAATAATTATTTAAAGTTATATTTTAAGTTTAAAGTTATTTAAAGTTTTATTTTTTATGGAAATTATTATTGTGTTAATTCTTGACAACTATTATCTTATCATAAACTACATTATTGCACATTGAGTATATTTTCACGACAATTCAAATTTTCGTTTGTGATAAGATAATTTTTTTACATGAAATAAAATTGTTATTTTTAATAGTGCGAAAGAAACAAGTGATAGTGGCAAAAAAGCAGTTCATTAAGTTTATTTTATGAGTGCACTCATTGAAACAAAAAAAAAATTTAATCTAAACTTTAGTTCAATATTTTTTCTGTTTTTTAATTATTAAAAACATGATATCTGTTGAACATAATGTAGTTGTGAACTAATTCATCAAATAAGAATAAATAATTGAGTCTATTTTATTTTTAAGATATCCAATTTGTGAATTTCAAAGATGTTTCATATGAATTAAATATTCTTATTTCCAATGAAATCAAACTATTGATAATTTGTATATTTTTTATTATGTATTTTATTTTGTATATTAGTTTATTAATCATGACGAACTTGGATTAAAATATATGCAATTAAAGCATATGATTCATTATATATCACTTACTGGCAAATCAACAAAAGCATCAGAGTCTGCTACAAATATCACATTTGGTTGAGTGACTTTTTTTAAATCAAATTCCGGAGGTATGGAAGAATTATAGATTTGCCAATTTTTGGTTGCACCATAGTCAAACTGGTTAAAACGATGGAATATTACATGTTGTGTATAAAGATACATATTTTTCAATGATGTCCCAGCCGGAAAATTAGTGATGATTGCTGGTAAAATAGCCTTTAATCAAATCAACATAATTATTGAATTTTATTAAAATTAAATTAGCCATAATATTTAAAAGTACCTGGTCAAATAATTCAGGTCTTTCATCTCCAAGAATACTTGACACAGCATTTAAACAGTTATAATTTCCTAGTGACAAAACCGCACAGGATAATTTAAGAAAAAAAAGGGGTAACCACCAACTTGGAGTAAAAAAAGTTTGCAAATTAGTGAAAAATTGTGTTACCTGAAATATTGAGATATATTCATATAATTCTCTAAGTATTCAAGTTGTTATGACTTCTTGAAAAAAATAACTACTTCGAATATTGTCGTCATAATAGATACCACAGATAGTTGCAATGAACTTTCACCACCACCTACGTAAGCAACTGGTGCTAAAGATATTGGTTGCTTTAATAAACTTGCTATATCTGGTTGTAAAATTGCCAGTAAAAAAAATATTGTTGTGCCTTGAGAGTGACCAATGTAAAATGGGTGTTGGTTGGTTAAATTCTGAATGTGATTAATCATTGCCGGAAGATCATAGATGGCCATTTCGTAAAAACTTCATCATAACATATAAAAGGAAATTAATTTCTGATCTAGAGGAAACAGTTTCTTCAATTTTTATCACTTAAAATTACCTGAAATCCCAAAATTCAGTATCATCTGTTGTTAAGTTAATATGATTCAGTCCATAATTATTTCCACGATTATTTCCAAGCCAAACATCGTATCCCTGATCAGCTAGTACATACACTAACAAATAATAATGTTATCACAAGATATTCATAGGAAATTTACAGTATATTCATTTTCAAAAATAAATAAATGATGTTCATTGAATGCAGTAACTTGCACTAATCTATTTTCAAACAATTATCAACAATATAATTAACTTCCCATAAGAGTGTTATTGTAATGAGGTCGATTTTCGTAGTTTGTAATTTTATCATATCTTTAAATTTTATTATAAATTATATAACAAAAGTATAAATTTAAATAAATGTGTAGAATATAGATAGAGAAGATTTTTAGAAAATTGTAACAAAAAAAAATGTGATAATAAATGGTCAATATTATTTTCAGATAAAAAAACCTAATGATTGTTCTCTTCCAGAAACAAGCCATAGAGCAGAATTGCACAACAGTCCATGCATTAGTAAAATTGGTTGTGCTCCTTTGCCTCCTGGAATTCGGTGAACAGTCAATATATATCCATCCTCAGTTGTAACATTGTGTACTTCTAAACGATATCCATCACGTTTGACTATATTTTCCTGAAAATAAAAAAAATTAATAGAGCAGAAGTTTATTGAATTATGATGATCTCAATAAAAACTCATTCTAAAAGCTTTGTTTAAATTAATTTTAAATTTTCTGAGTAATAATTAATTTAAACTTACAGCTGACCAGTAATCATCTAGAAAAAAATCACGAAATGCACCATGCATACTACAAAATGTATTAATAAAAATGAAAATACTTATTTGAATTGTTATCATTTTGTCAATGACTGTTATACAAAGTTGCAAAATAGACACTAAAATAGTAATTATACACTTTGAAAATTTATAAACGTTCTTATCAAATTTAAAAAGTAACTCTACTTATATGTAATTACATATACTTATAATTCTGTTTTATCATGAAATAAAATTTTTATGATTTCTTATTGTATTCAAATATAAAAGCATGAAGTTTATGGAGAAAAGTTGCACATAATTCTAGGCATAAATTTTTTGTATCAAGTTTGAGTTATTGGTTGTAATTAAATATGAGTAAGAGAAATAAAGTTTTATGTATTATTGATAAGATATTGTTAGTTGATAGCACTATGATTTATTCGAACTATTCTCATTCTATAATGAATAATCCTATCTATTAAAACTCATGACTTACTGTCAGACAAAGAGATACAATGACAAAAATCATTCGTGTGAAAATAATTAAATATTTATAATATTTTTTTTTATAAAAATCATAGAGATTACAATTCAATAATGATAGTAACAAAAAAAATTTTTTTAATTACTGTGAGAAATACGAAAAAAAAATAACTAAAGAATATAAAATTAAATCGACCAATCAGAAAAGCGTTATAACCATTTTATTCGTGCGTTGATTGGTCAATTTTATTTTTTAAATTTTCGAAATGAATAAAAATAAAAATTAAATAATTTTTTACGTCATTGATTTGAGACAGCGCGTGTTATATTTCTAGTATTAAATTAAGTTAAGAAACGAAACCAAAAAAAAATTTACTAAAATTTTAAAAGAACGATTATGATTACCATTAAAGTATTACTAGGAAAAATATTAAATGCTTGAATTAATAAATTCTTCATTTTTCCTTTCTAATTTTTCGTGAGACCTACTGAGTTTGATCAGTTTATCTTCCCGCCATATTGTAGAATATTTCCTCATTTTCGCTTTCTATCGCTAGTTGATAAAAGAAAATCAGGTATTCTTCTCTTGTTACCTGGCCCTTACCTTCCGAGTAATTACCGACGGTGGGAGAAATTTTTTTAGGTCCAAACCAAATCGAAAAAAATATAAAATTATAAATTAATTATGGGTCAATTATTCTATTTGAGAACGTGCAATAGTTTTTGTTATGATTTTGAAAGTAGCAAGGACTATTACAGTTGAGATTTATTAGCAAAGAAGTCCTTAAAAAATAAAATAATAAATAATCTATAAAAAATCTTTTATGAATTTTAATTTTTAAGTAAACTACTTAAATATAACAAAAAATGCACATACAACCATAGGAAAACATTTGAACTTTCAATTGAGTTCTAAGTCATACGTTACTATTTATTCCTGATAGTGTAATCAATGGAGAAAAATATTTACTTTTTTTTAGATTGAAGTTTGAATGCAGCTTAGTTTTAAAAGATTCACTGCAAAATAGTAAATATTTTTTTTTTTAAAGAGCATGGTTTTTATAAAATAAAAAAATTGTAATTTATATCAGCGTATTAAATACTTGGCGTAATTACTTTTCATTATGACATAAAATGAAGAGATATTTAATCGGTTATATAGTTAATTTCGCACAATCTATATCAAGGTTCCGTGGTGTAGCGGTTATCACATCTGCTTTACACGCAGAAGGTCGCCGGTTCGATCCCGGCCGGAACCATTACTTTTTTGTTTTTAAATATTTATTATAAAATAATTAGGATTGTTTAGTGACAATTTACTTGTCTACTTTTTATGACGATGATACAATATTGATTGTTTATCAAAAATTACTCCAAAATTCGTGAAGTGAGTCCGGTGAAAGTCAAACGAAAGCAAATATTCACTTTTTTAACAGGACGATGGATATTTTTGTGTACAATATATAATTTTTAGTAATTGATGGTGAACATTAATAGTACTTAACTATTAACATTTTGATAACAACGTCTAAAGATATTATTTAATAAATAACTGATTGTTAAGAAACTTACAATAAACTTTTTCATAATTAGAGTAAATTAATTAAGAACTTTTAATATTCTTATATAATGATTAAGATTTATTAATATCAATTGTGATTAATTCGATTTGTGAGAGCAAAAACTGTATTAATTAATCTAAAAGTTAAAGAAAATAAAGTTTAGTCAACAACATGTATAGAGGAGAAGGTAGGATTATGAGTCACTTTTTGTTTTTATTCAATTACATTTTACTCTGTTAAATTATCATCAATTGTCACTTTTCAAAATTTCTAATTATTGCCAAAAAGTTATTTTTCAATATATTTGTGGGTTAGCTGATGGAAGATGCAAAGTGCTTGCATAATAAACAAATGGACCATATTAAATACTGGACCATAATCCTACCTTCTCCTCTATTGAATATACCATCACGCAGACATATTAGATATTAATTATTAATACACTTGTACTTTTATCCGAATTTCCATAGTATAAAATTTCCTGTTAGATAACATTTAAAACATTGAACTTTGTAAAAAAACATTCAGTGAGGAAATAATCAATGACGAGGTAAATATTTTGTGATTAATTTTCCATTTCTTTAACATAAAAAGCCCTCATGTTTTATTTTTGAAATATTTTGTTTGAATTATAGGAGAGAAAGGAGCGAATATTTCAAAGGAATATAAATAAAAATATTCAGGAATCAATGACTGTTTAATAGAAATAGAACAAGGATGATAATGTCGAAAGTAATTAGTCTTATAATACTAAATATGTATGTGTAATTGGAATTTATAAAAATCTTTCAGTAAACTATACTAATAAATTAATTATAGATACAACAAATAAATAATAATTAGCTGAATAATTAAAGAAATGAAAGTTTCATGTAATTATTCTTCTCATTATTCGTTTTTGTTTTAAAATTTCTCAATTGTTAGACGATATCGAATCAATAATTTATGTTTCAATAAATTTCTTTGTTTATTAAATAAACAATTACTTAAAAACACAATATAATTCATTTTTATTGTAGTGAGTACAATACCAACTCCTCAGAATCTCTAGTTTATTTTTAACCATAACAATAAATTTTACATCTCATTTAATCTTTAGAGTAACTTTTCGTTAAAGTAACAATGATAAAATCACAAATACCAATAGAAAGGATAATGATCATCAAGGTCAAAACAAAGGATTAAGGACTGGTGAGGTATTGAGAAAAGAATAACAATATCAATTAATTTACGAAATCTGGAAATAATATTTTCTGTAAGTGTTACATTTTTATTAATAAATTTTTTCTTATTTTGTTAAACAATTAACGACTTTTTAATATTTCTAAGCTAATTTGATGTAATTCTTGTCAAATTAAAATTAAAAAAAAATTCGTTTCATTTAGAATATATTTGAAATGTTATACTTAAACTTTAGATTACTCCAATAATTCTGCCGAATTGTTCTACCTAAACAGCTCTCAAAATCTTCATCAAAGTGGATATTCACTGATTTGCAGTTACAAAATCATAACTGTTTAAATTAGTATTATTACCATATTTGGAAACAATGAATATTCACTGATAGTCCAGTAGCCAAAAAAAATACCTGAGGAATAATTGTTCAAAGGAGATAAAAAATGAAAACAGATTGATGTAAAGGTCGTAATAATAATAATAATAATAAATGTAAAACAATCACTCCCTAGTAAGATAGAGCTCAAAATTACGGCTATTGGATTATGACGCATTGCGGCTATTGGATTAGCAAAGAAAAAATTTTAATTAATCATGAATTACTCGAAAATTTGTTGATAAGTAAATAAAAGTAATTATTTACTCGATGAATTGACAATTTTAAAAATAAAATTATCAATGATTATTCAGTAATTAATATTTTTATTTTCTAAGTTATCTATTTCAAAATTAACTGAGTAATTTTGTTTGATTTTTTGTGTAAATTGAGAAAAAAAATATAAAAACTTCATTCCATTACTTGCAAAAAAGTTATCAACAATTATGCGTGAGTACATTTACACGAACATTTAAAGCCCTAAAACTAATATAAGTTTTCATTTTTTTTCATTCCCGTAATTTTCTTCGTAAATCTACCGTAAAAACGAAAGCATCAAAGATGTTGATTTTTCGATTTTCTAGAGCCAAAAAACGCGACAGTATAAAATCACTATTTCCTGATAATTTTTCTCGATAATACTACAAAAAAATATTAATTCCAAATTCTCATTTTATGAATAGATTTATTATTTCTACTATTTTTAATTGTATTATTATTTTTTTCAGATTAAAAATGTATTCCCATAATGAAAAAAAAAAATATTCAAAGATGTCAAGATCAGAAGCTGTTTACATACTCCCATTACTTTCTATTCGATTACATAAAAACAAAATGGTTAAATTATTGCTGATATGAAGTTATTAGCCTTAGGTGCAACATCCAATAAAATATAATAACATCAAATAACTTTTCACGACATCAATACCGGATGTAGGAGAGAGTTTATATCGACTTTGCCACTCCATTACCACTTATATAAAAGTGTGAAGATATCTGCGAGTGTAAGAGCGGAAGGATCTGCAAAAATGTCGAAGTTGTATGGGTAAATCGTGGGAATCGACAGTTGGTCTCTTGTCGCGGTGGTCGGAAGGTTCACGATTCCAACTACCCTCAGTGACAGGAAAACCAAGTAGTATCTCAGGGCCGTCTATTCAATGTCTATCACATCGTCTCCAAAAATAATATTTTATTTCCAAAGATTTTGATATAATTACCAATCAATATTTTATTAGCATCAAATATTTAGCTTATCTTTTTGCTATATTTTATTATTTCAAAATAATTGCCTGAAAAATAATGATAAAAATATTGTAGAATCAATCAAGCACAAGGTCCTTTTGACTATTTTCCAGCATTGAATCTGTTCTGTAGTGTTTGGCATGATTACAGTGTGAGGGATAAAAGGTTTTCTTGTTTAACAAAATAGCGTCTCCAAGCCATTAGCCCCGGCTGCTGCTTCTTCAAAAGGATTTCCTGTTCATCCAGAAAAAGTGAGATCTTTCAATCTATGAAAATT